GCCCTGGTGTTGCCAAGCAGTGGCAGGTATGGCGTGGTACGGCGACAGCGGTGACAGCGGCGACTGAGGCTCTGCCAGATCGCCCGCGGGCGGATCAGTGACAGCCCGAATGTGGGTGGAGGAAACCTGCAATTTCCTTATTACGTGTGCTTGAGACAAACCTACTGCTATTCTTTGAAAATGAAAATATAAACTGGTTGAAATGAAAGCAATTAGGGCTGCACATAATGGCCCCGGCCCTGCCTTTTAAGCTACTTTGGAGAACTCTTTTTATCGCGCTTCTGCATCACCCAGCAGACCTCTCAAATCAATAAATCATTGGTTACTAGAAATAGTTCGAGTCTTATAGTGGTGTTTTTGTGCTGTTTGTAGTTCGTTGGCAACGCTGCAGCTGTACGAGCCCTTCTGTTGAGGTGTTTTTGACTCGGTTCTCAGCGGGTGTTTCTGAGCGAGAGGGTGGCGAGGTCGTCCCTTCCCGGGGACCGGCTGACGAACACTTTCAGTATTGGGAGAGGAGGAGGAGGAGGAGGAGGCAAAAATCTGTTCAGCTGACTATAATTTGAAGAATTTTGGGTGCTTTTTAGTCAACTGTTCTTGTGATAATGTTCAGGCTGCAAGTTAAAGCAGAGTAGATCTTTTTTGGAAGACTACTTTTTTGTTTTTTTTCCTAAAAAAAAAAAGAAATGGTCATTATGAGTATTTGAAGATCAGAACTGCACATGCACAGTAATTTTTTATGAAGTGTTTAATGAGCACACCCACTACATTGTGTTCCATATTACAGGTCAATGTAATATTAGATAAGCCTTGCATGATAAACAAATTCATTGAGTCAATATTACGCTTTAAAACTTATACCTATAGTCAAGATTGGTGTCTTATGTAAACACATTTAGCCAATTTGAAGAAAACGCACATTATATATATATACTTATATATATACCTATATATAAAAAAAAAACAACTGTAAAGGATTCTTTGGAACCACTATGATCTGTGTAAATGTGTATTTAGGCACTTTATTAAAAAAAAATGGATTTTGAGCTGACAGATGGTAACAAGTTCTTCAAAGTTGCTTGGCATAACACCTCCCGTGGGATGAAGCTCATGTTGTTGATGAAGGTGGTATCCCTACCCTTAAAGCAAAACCGAAACCCCAACGCCTCCCTACGAAGGCTCCCCGTTTTGTCTTATCAGGTGGCCCAGCTCGGAGGGCGAGAGGCTGCTCCTGGCAAAGCGTACCCTTGTTTTGGGGCCGAGGGACGACGGCGTGACCGGGCGGAGAGGCCCGTGAGGAAGCACACCTTCCTCCTCCTCCTCCTCCTCCCGCAGAAGAGATGTCACTGTCACACAGGGTGTCTTGACAGGGACATCTACCACTTTGTGAGATTTGCTGCTGGTATCACTTCAGGGAGTGAGGTGGGATGGGGGACACAAGTACCACGACATTCTGCTGGGCTTTGTGCCTTGCTTTTCAGGGCATCTGGAGCAGGCATGTCACCTCCTCGCAGCACTCCATCTCCATCTCATGAGTCTTTCTTTTACCATCATTTTACCATCCCACACACGCTACAACAGGCTTCGAACCCCTCCGAGAGTACTTCCACCAAAGTGCTTTAGCTGCATCAGTGCTACTGGTAATATTCCTTTTTAAACTTTTTAAAAGGTGATACTGTAATTTGTGTAGTATTAAAAGTGTTTTAATGAAGAATGTGTGATTATTTTCCCCCCCTCCCCCAACCCTCTTCCATCGCTTTTTTTTGCAAAGATGTTTTTCCTGGCAGATCACCTGCATGGTGCTTTCGTTGATAGCTGCCGAACTGACCTGTTGCCATTTTCACTTTTTTTTTTAACTTCTGGCACTAAGTGTAAGGAAACCAGGAGTTTTAAATACTTCTTGCACTTTTTCTTGTATATAAAAAAAGACAACTGGAAAAAGCTATAGCTGCCCAAGTGGAATTTTTTTTTTAAACTGTTTTTTGGTACTATTTCTGATACTTGTTTGTAAATGGGCAGCAGTGTGGGGCAAGAGGGGGTGCGTGAAGCTGGGGCTGCTGCCCTGCGCCTGGGTCCCGGGGGTGGGACGGGGGCCGCACAAGGGAGGCTTTGACCGCCTTTGCGGTGGCCTCAGAAAACCTGGTATGTTTGGGAGCTCTCTTTTTAGACGTGCTGTAAACCAGGCCATGGCAACCGCGTGTTTGTATGAACTAGCGCTTAGGCAAAAGGTATAAATACATTTGAGAGTGCTCTCTAGTGGCTTTTTTTTTTAG